TATGCGATTATGAACATACATGGGGAAACATCAATCGTATTCCATCATCGCTGTCCGCAAAAAAAGGTTCCGTCGCGTGTCACCTCGCAATGTGGTGAAAACGCCTATAATTATACATGTAAAGTTTGTTAGGATGTTAGGTAATAACCAGTTTTGAAATACTCGCCTCCTTATGAATTCCCAGTATGCAATGCGCACTCGTGAATACACCAGCTGACTGTGATATACTCTTTTAAACATAAACGACACTTTTATCCCAAGATTACAGCCATGTAGTGTAATATAATGCAACTACATTCACTGAACTGACATCTATAAACCCAAGAAACACAACGCAACTACAACCATGTCTTCAGCACAGCACGACAATTAACATTTCATGGTTCCTATAAAGGGATTTTAAAGTACCCGGATGAATGACCCACGTAAAAATGCCGTGATTCCGGAATACAACTAAATCTACCGTCATTTGAATATACCGCAACTTACGTTACTTTTGTTGGTAAAAAACCTACACCTATAAATTCCAAGTAAAATAGGTGATTTATTTTTTTGCAAATTTATTCAATGTCAATTTCCGATATTGTTTACGAGTTTAACGCCGAGGTGGATGGCAATGATGACACCAACACGTGGTAGCATACACTAGTTACCAATTTATGTGGCATTTAAGCCGTAAAACATTGACGATCGCAGTGAACTGAAATTAACAAAGGATGTAATTAGTACATATGCCATGGCTTTATCCATATATTTATTTTTTATATAGAATATTACGTTATCTAGGTTGCAGCACCAAGTTAGATCACGGCACGATTGGAATTCATAAGCAATTTGGTTGTAGTGGAACTGAATACATATTCTCTAAGATCTGTCGTTTTGTAGATGTATGTCCACTTTAATACGTAAATACTGAACAGAAATTCTTTAACCACGTTTATAGGATTGCTACACAATGCACATTGCCAATTACACACAGAGATATTACTTGACTGAACATTTTGCCCAGCTATGTGACAGAGAATGCATACATTAACACTCGGTGCCATGTCTCACACTGGCACTGTGATTACTCAGACAGAGAAGAGGTGTTGTACTCTCTGTATTATTTCTATATAGTAGTTCGAAATAATGCCCAATCGAATAAAACATTTTCAGTTATGCGGCGTCAAGCTGGATTACCTGTTTGAACAGCGTAAAATCTTAGATAGTTCAGTCAAACGGATAAGTTTGGGTATTCAGTCACTCAAACGAGTGTTTGTACCTGGCTACCTGGCTAAAACCCGGTAACAATCATTTTACTTGGATATGCATTGAACAGCTATTACCAACATACTCCGTTGAATTTTTCTCACATGAAGCTAGTTCAATTGATCACATTAGTTGGCATCTGTGTTTTATTGGATGAAACAATTTCTATTGTTACCTATGATTGTTATTTAATAATATGTCTCCGGGTGTAATTAATTAAAAATCAGCATTGACTCTCACAATTTAAAATAAAGTATAATTACAAATTGCTTCATAGACATTCCCGAGCATACAATTATTTCTCCGATCAAGACACCTCACTATACGATAGAAACCGATGCATTCATCAGCATTCATTTACAACTTCTAAACTTGTGTGGTATGTTTTTATGTCTTCATCAATGCAGTCAGACATCAGTAAATCAACATAGTAGCTATAGTAACACATCTGTAATCAACAACAGTAGTCAACCGACTGAAGCACTTTTTTTTTAAATGTGCAAAATAAACACAACTTATGTATAGCTTTAAAATGGCCTTAATGTTTATATTGGAAATGTGTCTTCTGTTAAATCTTTGCAGTTTTCTCCAGGGAGAAGCTGATATTGTTATTTCACTAGTGTAATTTATGTAAGCGTGATTGTTTGTATATCTTATTTATATTCATTTGGCAATTGCTTTCGTAAATTATTCTTAATATTTTTGCGTCTCCATGGAAATATTTGCAACAAGGTCTATTTATTGAGTGGTTTGTAGTTGATGAATGATATCCTGCATAAATGAAAGTAAATCCAAATATAAATAAAATCGATATTCATGAATATTTATTTAATTATGAACATACATCAATGGTATCCCATCATCGCTGTCCGTAATAAATTGATTTCACCACGTGTCTCCTTGATATGTGGTAAAATCGTTTATAATTATACCTGTTGATTTTGCCATATAGATATACTACGAAATACTACAGAACCACATGCATATCTTCAGCACAGCAGCACAAGTAACATTACTTGGTTCCTATAGATTGATATTTATCCGGAAGTACCCGGATGAATGACCCACGTAAAAATGCCATGATTCCAGAATCCTACTAAATCTACCATCATTTGAAGATACCGCAACTGACGTCATGTTTTGTTGTTAAAAAGCCCACACCTATACATTTTAGGTAAAATAAGTGAATTGATTTGTAAATATATGATATGCTAATGTCTGCGTTTTGGAGATGATTCTAACGGATTCTAACAGATGGCAATGATGACACCCCAACACGTGATAACATACAATTTTTACCAATTCATGAGTTTTACAAAACAACAAACGTTGAGCGAATGACAAAAAATGTAATAATTATAGTAATCTTTTATTTAATATATGTAAATAGGAACATCTGGTGACAAGGTAGGAGAATTCACGACAGCGAAAGATTTGTCTAACCCTGAAATCTGAATTATGTTGAATTTTAAACAAACAATAAGGAAACGAACGGGTAATATATAGGTAAACTGGTTAAAAACACAATTTTATTACTGTACAGCGCATTGTGGACGTATTATACCACATGTAATCTTTTTGTGTCCAAATGACTGTCTCGAAGAGAATATTTAGTCCAGATCAACGTCTGTATCAACCCAAGAATCAATGGCACAAAACATACAATTTGAAACATGACTTCGTGAAGGTTCAAAATATCATCTGGGTCAGACGCCATTTCATCTTTCCCGGATTCGTAACCACTTCTACTCAAAATGGCGAGCACCAACATTGGCGCAAGTGACTGTGTAGGTTTGACAAATAAAGCATTCATTCCATAAAACATCGACGATCGAGGTGACCTGAAATTAAACACAGAATGAAATTACTAAATATTCCATGCCTATAGTCATATATTTATTATTCATATATAATATTAAGTTATCTGGATTGCAGCACCAAGTTAGATCATGGCATGGTAAATATTTTAGAAAAGGTTTCTTCAAATGTACACTTAGTGAATTCATGAATGACACCAATTTTAAATTAATATTATGTATCTTCTGGACTTAGTTAATTAAAATCGCCAATAAACCTAAATTTCAAGAAATCATAAATTACTTAATAGGCATGACACATCGATTGATACCGTGAAATTGCAAATAATCAAAGACTCTGACTCTGTCCGTGATTCTGTCTCACTACCTCCGATCAGGACACCTCATTGATGAAAACCGATGAATTCGTCAGCACTCGTTGACAATTTCTCACCTTTTGTTATATGTTTTCATGTCTTCGTCAATGCAGTCAGACATCAGTAAATCAAAATACTGCCCGGTAGCTATGGTGATACTTCTGTAATCAACAATATTCAATAATTCCTGTTAAAATGCCTCAATAAATCAGACTTAGAGCTACACCAAAAGGAATACAAAATAAAGACAACTTACGAATCGGTCAAAATAAATGAAGCAAGTATCCATGAGTGATGTGGACCAATCGCGTACATTGTTGCCGAGGAAACAATTTTTATGTAAAAAGTTATCTGGCACACTTTGAATGCTCCAAACTGTTTAACGACATGACTCATAACAAGAACACATATCTGTAATAGAAATATACACTGTAAAATATTATGAATATGGATATGTAACGACAAATTATCGAAGTGTTATTTTAAGCACAGACTCCTTAAATTACGTTGGATTTGTACACAAATGACAATTTCTTTGCTGTATGATTTGAGATTTTACTGAATATCAAGCATTATATTATATCTGATAGTCATCTGTTCACTAGCCTGACGAGGTCGCATGAGTTGCGCCCTCCGCGGTGCTCCAAACCCATGAGGTCTGATGCCGTTCGGCCGGTGAGGGCCTACTCACGCCGACATGTCAGGCTATTTGTTCAAATGTCCTATATGCGTTAATCCTCAAAGCAATACGTCATAGTATTCTCTAGGGGTACTAATGCCCCATAAAGCCAATAATGCCCTATGCTATACGTCAATTGTGGCATAATGTTAGCATCTCAATAACAACTGCTTATAATTGCTTCAGTTTGCAAATCATACTGTTGATTTTCATTTTAAATGCTGTTTTCAATCGCGTGTGAAATTTTAAAATATTGTTTGTTAACATTTTGCTTCAATGTATATTTTTTTCAATATTGTAATATATACAAATATATCGCTCCATATTTACTCCCATTGTCACCTTTAAACACCCATGAAAATTTTGATTTAGAAAGTAGAGCAATATTAGGGTTAAGTCGCCTGCTCCCAAGCTTCAACTGATAACATCACATACTTAAATGTTTTATTAGTAATGTATATTTTTAAATTGAATTCGATAAGACTTGAGCAAAATGGCCAACTGATAATGCTATACACACTTCTCTCAATGCAATGACTAATACATTTATGGATTAACCACAGTTTTATAAAAGATGTATAAATTAAAAAGTTTGAATGAATGAATTCGGGAGAATATTGAAAACCAGACTAACCTGAGGTACAACAAAAACTGATCCGTACAACATTGTCCTGGCTAAATCTGGAAAGATGTGATTGGGCAGCAAATTGTCGGCTACGATTATTAGAAAATTCCTGATGTATACAACATGGAAGGTGGTGCAACAGTTCACAGTGACAAGAAGTAATACGTTTATCTGACAAATAATCTGCCTGTATCCAGTAAACATTGACGTTTTGTTGAAGTCGAAGCTTTGAGTAGCGTTTGAATCACCATCTTCTAGCTCATATTCGCTCGTGGCATGTAACCCTGTATATCGCATTGCCAACCAACTCAGAAAACCAACACACACGCAGAAATATTGAAAATTCTTTAAATTGTTCCGACTATCCGAGAATACTTCGCACCAAAATACTGATGACGATCCAATGAGAGTAGCTACCACCTTATATCGAGTTAAACGTAGGCGGTCGCCATGGTGATTGGACATTTCCGTGTACAGAGAACT